GGGTGCCCTAGTGGCACGGTCGTATATACAGGTCTTGCAACTCAGAAGATTTTCAGTGGTGGGGGTAGCTCTCTTATTGAAGCAATTTTTAATTTCTGATATCGCCACCACGTGTCGCTACCCATCTAGTAGGGCTAATATAGCCGTTGATAATCTTGACCAAGATAGTCTTCTTGATCTTGACGTTGTCCATCGAGTTCCGCTTGGGACGTTGAGTGAGCAGCTTCTTCTAACCTAGAAGAGAAATTTTTTTCTTCGACGTTACATCATCCGATTGTATCATCCCGCGTGAGGCCCGATAGTTGGGTCTCTGCATTGTGGTAATAAATTTAAACTTGCTCAAATAATTCTACAACGTCTATTGACCAACAATCGACGACAAGTGGTTAGACGTGGTCGTATTGGATCCAGAAAAATCGGAAAAATAATGTAGAGACAAGATCGTAAACCACACGGAGACCACACGAGGAAAGAGTATTCCAAATAACATATCCACGGCGTTTCCGTACAACGGATTTATCGCTCATCAGTCAGTATCGTATTTTATTTGCCAAGTTATAATTGTTTTTAAATTTGCCGCGTTTTATAATTCATCCTCTGGTCACTAGTGTCGTTGCTATCTAGCAGGGCTGACTAATAAAGCGTGACTTCAATAAGTGAGACACCCCCACCACCGAAGTTGCAAGACCTGTGTATACGACCGTGCCTAGTGGTGTCATTTCGGCTCACGCGCAGTGGCATGCGTACGTCACTGTAACCCCCATCCACGTGCATGCGCAGTCGTGCGATTGCCATGCCAGCCTAGCCCGAATCGGAACACTGCCGGAGAAAGGTACCCTAGGTGTGTATCCATCCTGTTCCTCCAGGGCCTTTTCCCTCCTTCCTCCACTATAATAAGGAACACCAAGTAAATCCCTCCCACTCCTACACACGCATACGTACACCATCACACCCGCGTAATTGTAAAATCCGACGATAAAAATGTAATATATTTTATTCTATAATTCTATTCTTATTTTATTATCTTTTTTTTCCTCTCTAAATAAAATGACAAACAATTCTTCTAATGTAATGGTTATTCTAATGTTTAATTAAAATTGTTTATTTTATTTTTTAATGTAATGTCTAGACATAGACAAATTTTAAATATAATCCCATGTTAAACTTATCTCATTCTCTCTAATTTTTATTTCTAAAGACCTCACACCCTTCGTTCCCCTTTGAGAGTGCACAAGGTCCGTCCCAGGGTAATAGGGATTAATTTCCTTGACCTAAAATAGGACCTGCGATCGCACCGCTATTGAAAAGAGTCATAGTGTCCTCACGGACATTGGCCTTTTAGAGCCTTAGAAAAGTGCGTTCGGCTCGCTTCCACGCGCCTCCGAGCGTATTAGCGAGATACTTAAACTTGCTAGTTGCGTCATTCCATACCTCCACATTTCCGAGAGGTTTTGACGTAACATCATGTACCGAAACAATTTCGATCCAAATTCGAAAGTAAAGCGAAAAAAGAGATATTCGTGGGCTACGAAGGAAATAGCAAAAACTATCGTGTCATGGATCCAGAAACGTTAAAAATAACGGTCACAAGAGATGTAATATTCAACGAGGACAACAATACAGAAAATCACGCGAAGGAAATCGAACATCTGACAGTCTCGCTTGAGGATCCTGAAGATGGTGAAACAGAAGAAGACGAATGCAGCAATACTCAAGATGAGCCTGATAGAACAGAAGAGGAGGATATCAACGAGGAAAATTCAGACAGACCGGTCAACGGACAACAGCTCATCACAGGAACGAACAGAGAATTACGAGACCGAAGTAGTATCCGAAAACCCTCTCGTTTCAGCGAATGTCAGTACTTGGCATGCACAGCAGCAGTGATCGAAGAACCACAAACATATGAAGAGGCTATGTCCGGGGAGGATGCAGGACAGTGGTACCAAGCCATGAAGGAAGAGATCGAATCATTGAAGGTCAATAACACTTGGTCATTAGTAGTCAATCCAGGAGGTCAAGTAATAGACTGTAAGTGGGTCTACAAGGTCAAGCACAGGTCCGATGGGTCGGTAGATAGATATAAAGTCAGGCTTTGCGCAAAAGGGTATCTACAAAGAGAGGGCATTGACTTTCAGGAAACGTTCTCTCCAGTAGTCAGGTATGATTCGATAAGAGTCTTATTGGCATTAGCAACAGCATACGATATGCACATTAAGCAATTTGATATTACAACGGCTTTCTTGTACGGAGAACTAACGGAAGAAATTGTTATGAAACAACCGAAAGGTTTTGTCACTGATTCATCTCTGCAAATTACACAAAAGTTTATACGGACTTAAACAGTCCCCGAGTTGTTGGAACATAAAATTTACTAAGTTTTTGAAATCTTTCAAATTCGAGCAACTAGAGGCGGATAAGTGTGTTTTTCGTACACAGATCGAAAACGAATTAGTATTGTTGGCCTTATACGTTGATGACGGACTTATTATATGTAGAAAATTAGAAATAATAGATAGGATATTACTTGTATGCAGTCAACAATTTAAAACAGTGATAGTAAAGTCTAATTGCTTTGCGGGACTCGAATACAAACAAACAGGAAACCAATTGTTCATTAGTCAACAGACTTACATCAATAAAGTTTTGAAAAGATTCTGCATGCAGGACTGCAATCCAATGACTACTCCAGCGGACTTGAACTCTAACATAAGCAAAAAGGATTGTCCTTTAGAAGAGTCGGACAAGGAAGAAATGAACAGTGTGCCATATAGAGAGGCAGTAGGTAGTATTATGTTCATCGCTATTGTCACGCGTCCAGATATAATGTATGCCGTAAATCAAGTAAGTCGTTTTTTAAATAACTCTGGGAAAAATCATTGGACCGCAGTAAAACGTATTTTAAGGTATTTACAAGGAACTGTTAACGTTGGAATTTTATACAAAGGTAACAAGTGTACACTCAAAATGTATTCTGATGCAGACTTTGCGAACGACCAAGATAGTCGTAAATCAATATCTGGTTACATAAGTGTGTTGAATAATGCACCTGTAACTTGGTCATCAAAACAACAAAAATGTGTTGCGCGTTCAACGGCAGAAGCGGAATACATAGCAGCATCCGACGCGTCCCAAGAAACAGAATGGTTGCGTTCACTACTACAAGAATTGTTAAAAGAACATCAACTACCTACGGAACTATTAATTGATAATCAAAGCGCAATAAGATTAGCGAAAAATACAGAACACCACAAATTAACAAACACATTGATATAAAATACCATTACATTCGCGATCGTATTAATAACAATTCAATAACTCCAGTTTATGTTCCATCTGAAAGTCAACTAGCCGATTTCTTAACCAAGCCATTGTCAAAAGATAAATTTGTACGTAACTGTAAGGCTCTCTCAATAAGTTCATTCATTAATGATAATGACAAAACCGAAGAAAAGATCGATGAATAAAAGTGGGAGTGTTACAGAAACAGTTTATGCATCGATCTTTCCGTCTATACTTTATGATGCCACACACATGTCTAGTTATTTTCTAAATCTCAGGTTGTCATGGCTGTGAACTATCGATTATTATCGACCGCCGACTATGTTTGGTTTTGTGAACGCTTGAGTTACTGTAATACCGTTCTTTTAGTTAGTTAGTTGCGAGCGTTGCGAGTTCACCACGATAGACACAGCAAGCAGTCTTAATGTAACAGTCACAAGCACTGAATAAAAGTATCATTTCATTTTGTGTACAACAAATAAGTCGTCTTATTTAAGTCGATCCTAACAGATCGAAACTCCACCGCATAAGGATAATCGTAACACAATCAAACGGAGAATATTTCTTGCCAGACTCTTACTACAGGGACTCTAGTCTGATTCGGCCATAGACATATATATATAGACCCAGCGTTCTGTGAGTGGAGTTGTCCGCGTCTTCTAAAGGACAGAACGATATAGAGGAAGGTGCTGTCTCCGTCACTCCGCAGGCCTGGAGGGGGAACGTCGAGGGGAACTAGAGGCCAGTGATGCCGTTCGGGAACGTTTACCCGTATGCTGAAGCGATGGTGGGGCTTGGAGAGGGGATAGTCCGCCTGCGCGCGCACGCTCGCACACAAGCAACACGTCGTAAAAACGTGTGCGCTCGACGCTTGGCTACGACGTGTTGCTTGTGTACGAGCGTGCGCGCGCAGACGGACTATCCCCTCTCCAACCCCCACCATCGCTTCAGCATACGGGTAAACGTTCCCGAACGGCATCACTGCTAGAGGCGCGCACACCGCGTACGGCCTTGCCACGCGCTTCTAGTTCCTCTCGACGTTCCCCCTCCAGACCTGCGGAGTGACGGAGACAGCACCTTCCTCTATATCGTTCTGTCCTTTAGAAGACGCGGAAAACTCCACTCACAGAACGCTGGGTCTATATATATATATGTCTATAGATTCGGCCTTTAGAGCGCCCCCCTTATCCCCACCAACGGCTACCATGCCGCGGCGTTCGTCTAGCAGTACTGCACGCAAGCAGCGACACACTGCGTACTGTTTATACACAGTGAATAGGTGCATTGACCTCATCAGCGAGCCCGATTGCATAAAAACCATGGAACAGACTATTACTGTCGCCGATCCATCTTCGACTCGTACAGGTAAATTTAAAGTAAAAATTGTTTTAAGTGCATTAGTACATATTGTTACGCCCGCGTTTTGGACGTCCGGTATCTGGCGAGTCGCTTGGCTATCGAGTCGTGGAAGTTTAATAACTATGTTATTGATTCTGAGTTTGGCCCCTGCCTTGAGCAGACGCCTCGTGGGCCGATTATTATTCTTTTCTGTATTAAACATTGTTTTCTAATCTAATATCACATTTTTCTCGAAATGATTTTTGTATTCGTTTAAATTTAAAATCTACATGTTACGAGCCCGAAAAATATCTTTGGAGAATGTTTATTAACTTATTTTTGTTTCTTGAATTAGAATATACTTTTGAAATTATGTTCAATATATTGTAGGAATCAGAACTATTGTATCCAAGAGACGGCCAGGGAGAGCAGCACTGCAACGATCGCGTGCAAAATGCCAAGAACAGCGAAAACTACGCGTTCTTGTAGCAGTTGCAGAAGCGGCCAATAATTTGCCAACAAGCAAAGGAGGGCAGGAGCAGCAGGAGCAGCAGCAGCAGCAGGAGCAGCAGCAGGAGCCGCAGCCGCAGCCGCAGCCACAGCAGAAGCAGCAGCAGCAGCAACAACAGCAGCAGCAGGAGCAGCAGCAGCCTTTAGAAAATAAACTTCTAAAGCTGCAGAAGCTGCGCAAAGAAATGCAGAACCTGCAAAATGAGATAAACACCCTGCAACGAAACACTGATGGAAGCAGCGGTAGGGGCAGTGGCAGGAGCAGAGATTGGGGCAGAGGCAGGAGCAGCGGCGGTTGGGACAGAGGCAGAGGCAGAGGCATAGGAAATGCCAGAGGAAGAGGTAGAGGAAGAGGCAGAGGCATAGGAAGAGACAGAAGACGAAACTTTACTATGA